TTTGCATCTGACTGCAGCTTATACATGTGTAGGTCCCTTTTGGGCAGTGCACATGAGTCTATTCTCTTGCTCTTGCATTCCATCCAAAAACCTCCCACTGCCATGCAGCTATCAAGCCTTAGGAGGAGGTACCTAATGCTGTCACTTACTGGCAGGGAGAGAAAGGTAGCAGTTCAGACTATGAAGATATGGCTGTTCTGATCTCCTGGGGAAAGGAAAAGGTCAGTGCACTCTATTTGAAAATGCAGCCTCATTTCTCCCTCTGAACAAGCTGAGACCAGCTGCTTCTCTATGGTATGAATTGCCTGCCCTATTCTCTCCTTTCCCTATCATGGCAAGGCATGTCGCCAGGGACAATCTTGAAGCTGAGGCTCAAGATAAAAGCAAAATGCATTCCACTAAACTATTATTTCCCCCCAAGCTAGTATAGGTGGGGCAATGAATTAAAACAAAACAAAACCTGAAATTAGGTTACTTGCACAACTAGTTTAAGCAAACCAGACAAGCAGACAGATAGGTTTCAAGTTTCATGGTTCTTTAATTGCTTTTTTCCCTAATCAACCAGTGAACAAAGAATACTGTGGCAGCACTTGTGTCTTGAACATGTCTGTGGTTCCACTCAAGAGAATAAAAATATATGTATTTATATGTACAAGGAGATTTTCCAGACAATTCAAGAGCATGCCGGTGGGGGAGAGAGATGAAAAGAATGAAAGACTGGTTTTGAATTGCTCAGGATGGCAAAAGAAGCAGACAGGAAGGTGCAGATGGTGTGGTGTGAAGGATGTAGGAACACTGATGATGCCTACTACAAGGGGAAAGGTCCTAGGAAGACCCATTGGACTGAGGTGTGAGGAAGACAAAAAAATGACAACAGCTGAGAAAGCTGAGGTGAATATGGTTCTGCAGTCTAAGTGCTTCCCACTTCATCAGGGTGAGCACAGTGCAGGCGGTGGGCAACATGCCAGCCTCTGGAAACTACTCTGCAGCTTTCAAAGGCCCCCACCAGTTGTCCTAAGCTCTCTACTTTTGTGTTCACATTTTTGATAATTTTTTGGCACTTTTTGCCTCCAAATCGGGCAGAAAACCCCTCATACACATGCAAAAATATTTCCACCCTCACAAGCTGCCCAGGACCCTGTGCCATCCCCAAATATTTGTTCTCCCCTGTAGTCCCTCTCAAAGTGACAACAGGAGGTTACATGTCATAAATTTGAGAGGGACTACAGAGGAAACCATAGGTCAGGGGTAGGCAACCTTTCCCCTTTAAGGGCCAAGGGACTTCAGCTCCCAGAATCCCAGGAGCTATTGGCCAACATGGGACTATTGGCCAACATGGCTGAGGCTTCTGGGAGCTGACGTCCTTCGGCCCTTAAAGGGGAAAGGTTGCCTACGCCTGCCATAGGTATTTGGGGCTACTATGGGGGTGAATACATCCTGCAGGAGGAGAAGACTGGGGACAGGGGAATCAGCCCCAGCCCCCATGCAGTTGCGCATCCCTGCACTAGATACTTTGTGATGCTTCTGCAAAAAGCTCCTAGGCCAGAAGTCAGCAAACTTTTTGAGCTGGGGGCTGGTTCAGGGCTCCTTGGAACATCGGAGGGCCGGAGAAAACAAAACAAAACAAAACAAAACAAACAAGCAAAAAAAAAAACGTGTTTTGTTTTGTTTTTTAACTCCAGCCCTCCAATGTTCTGAGGAACCCCGAAGTTTGCCCGGTGCGACTGTGGGGGTCCCCCAGGAGGGCTCCAGCAACCACACTGGGCCCCAGTGCACAAGCGCGTGCTACTCCGGGGTGCCATTTTTTGTTCCAAAATGGTGCCTGGAGTCTCACCCGACCTTTCCCATTATGGGGCAGGACGGGAAAGGTCGCACAAGATTCCAGGTGCCATTTTGGAACACAAAATGGCGCCCCAGAGTCGCACACACCTGAGAAAGGCAGCGGGGGCGGCAGGACTGGTCAGGGGGCTGGTAGGAAGGCCCCGTGGGCCATAGTTTGCCGACCCCTGTCCTAGGCAGTCCTTTTGCTAGCACTGGAGGCAAATTGCACCAAGGGTCTTCCAGAATATACACATACACATACACGGCTCACTTATTCTGCTACAGCTGAAGGGTAAGAAGGGATCCTTCATCCCACTCAATAGAAACAGCCCCCATTCCCCAACAAGCCTGGTCATGTTGGCTTGGAGATTCTGGGAACTACAGTGCAAGTAGTTCACTTTTCCAGGTTCAGCTCCTGCCTAGCCATTTCCTATTCTCCATGTTTTCTCAAGGGTGGGTGACCATCTTCGCTACAAAGACATCAACGGATCTGTTCAACACCTGCAATAGTCACAAAAAACTTCACTATCGTTAAGGCCAACCCATCCAACTCCACCTTTCATGATTGTGGAAAAACCTTCTGTTTCCTTGCTGCCCTGGCTACCAATTTCCAAGATACAATGAGCAAGATACACCTTGCTACAGAGAGAAGCACTATGAATGCCCATCAAACACAAATCTCACTAAGCTGCGGAGGACTGCCAGGCAAAACAGCCCTTCCTGCCCATGGTGAATAAGACAGATGAGCTGGAAGAGAAACCCATAAAGAAGAAAATTATCAGATTGGGTCAATGCTGGCTGAAGCAATTCCATTTAAACTGCCTCAGCGTTCTCTATTGCACTATTAAAACTCCCACCCTGCTAAAATGGTCAGTTTTCATGATGATTCTCCTAAATTGGAAGAGTCACACATGTACTGGGAAACATATAAAGATCATAATGCAAGAATACCCAAGCGCCAATTTTCTCAACTGGTGCTGACAATCAACCCCCCTCGTCCCCAAAATCCCAGGCCCCTTGTTTTTGTTGACTTGCCTGCTCTTTGCAAGAAGCATATCCAACTCAGCTACTTTCATGTGACATTTCACATTCTGCACTTTGCAGCCAGAACTTTTGCACCTAGATCAGGAAATGTTAACACTACCAGCTCAAAACAGGTCAGCTTCTCCTTCAGTTTCTCCTGTAGAATCACCTAATTCCTTTGAAAAGGTTAATGCCCAGCCCTTCAAGGTCTAAAGTCCCTCCATTTTACAGTCCACAAATAAGAAAAGGTGGTTTGAGCAAACACTAAATGTGACTTTTTTTAAAAAAAACAAAACAAAAAATGACCCTTGGAGGGCAAAGTCCGATTTGTTGGATGTGGCTGAAGGAGTTGGGTGTGTTAGGAAGAAGAGGTTCCATGCAGGATTTTGATGGTATAATGAACAATTATCTATGCTACATACTCTCAAAAACAAAACTGAGAAAATAATCAGGCTTCAGATTGCCAGGCCAGCCAACAAGAAATGTCTGTTGAGAAGTCATAACACATGGTGGATTTGTGCTGGTGATGACTGTTTGTCTCTTCTCTCTCTCTCTTCATCCCCTCACCAAAGTTTGGTGTTTCCATTTTGAAGGCAGGGCATAAGCCCTTCTCTCTAGCAAACAAAAGCTTGGCTTAGGTCACCCGATAAGTGGAAGTGTTCTTGGGTTCTGTACTGGGCACACACCAGTCGTCAGCTTCCTGGATGGTTTGGTAGTGGCGCCAAGCTGACTTGTTGTACACTGGAAGCCTCTCCACAGAGTCTGTTGACAAGGCCTGGAAAAGTACAAATCCATTTAGAATGCACCATGGACATTTTGGCAACCCTGGTAAGACTAAATGGGAGATGAAAGAGAGCACTTGATCCTCATCCACCCTTTCTGAACATTTCTGTCAGTCACATGGACGGTGGTTTCCTAAAAGACAGAATTATGGGGAAAGCCTCCACACATAATGGAGACTCTCCTCTTCACTGAGAAGAAAGGCAACATGCCTCAGTATCTGCACATTTCTGAGGCTTAAAGGATATTTCTGTGAAGAAAAGTGAACACAAAACAATCAGCATGTTTTATAATAATAGTGAAATGAATGGGACTGAAAATATCCAGAACTTGGAAAAGTTACTTTTGGAGACTGCAGCTCCCCAAATCCCCCAGAGACCACATTGGCTAGAAGATTGTGGAGATTCTGACAGCTGTAGTCCAAACAAGTAACTTTTCCAGACTCTGCTCATGTCTTTGAATTAAGTCACAATGATAAGAAACTAAGATTCTGTCCTCATGCAAAGAAGTCCATGCAGGACAAACTAGTTTAAATGAAGGGTATAAACATTTCTCAGGTGAGAATTGGCAAGGGAATGTTTTCTGGTGGGGTTAAGATACTGAAGCAATTGCACAAGCATAACATCATGAATTCACTCCTGGTCGTGGCAGGAAAGAGGAGGAAGAAGACACCAACTCACTTTCAAGTAGACGACAGCATCCGTACCAAAGCCCTCCATAGAGAAGAGCTGAAGGTCTCCTTGGAAATACTTGGCATAGAGTCTGGAAATAGGCAACCCATAGCCGAAGCCAGCCTGGTTTTAGCAGGAAGGAAAGGACAGAGATAATATGGTTAAATATTTGTCCAAAGCCCAATTTTCCTGTCTTTACAACCCAGCTAGCATTGTGTTTACTCATCCTTTCCATCACTATCCCAGGACAATGTTGTATATCCTTGTTGTTGTTGTGTGCCTTCAAGTAATTTCCGACTTATGGCAATCCTAAAATGAAGGAGCAAAACAGACTGCCTCGAAGGGGCAGCTTGAAGCTGCCCCTGATAAAGCCAGATTGGGGCCACGGCAACTACATGCCGTGGCCCCAATCTGGCCTTGAAGCCACCCGAAAAAGGCTTTTCAATCCATGCTACAGCCAGAACAGCTTTATGACACTCCAGGTGGAGTGTAAACGCTGCACTGCCAGATCATCATGAAGCCACCCCTGTGTAAATGGCCATTCTAAACACAACAACCCCAAGCTGCTGGGAAGCCAGAACAAATAGGCAGTCTGTTTCGCCCCGAACCTATCATGGGGGTTTTTCTACAAGATTTGTCCAGAGGAGGTTTGCCATTGCCTTCCTGAGAGTATGTGACTTGCCAAAGGTTACCCAGTGGGTTTCATGACCGAGCAGGGAATCGAACCCTGGTCTCCAGAGCCATCGTCTCACTCAAACCACTAAGACATGTGGTTCTATATACTTCCTAAGAGTTTCTTATCTAATTCAACCTGAAGACCTGGTGGGCAACTTGGATGGGTCTGGAGAACAACATCTGCCCTGGGTCCCACTGCAGACTGCCCCGTATTGTCCACTGAAAAAAGACAAAACATGGTAGGACTCAACTTATCCCCAAAACACAGACTTGGGGTGCAGCTACACTGTAAAAATAATGCAATTTGACACCACTTTAACTGCCATGGCTTCCTACAGAATCCTGGGACTTGTAATTCTAGGAGGCACCTTGGCAGACACAGCCCAAGACCTTGTAAAACTACAAATCCCAGGATTCCATAGAATGAAGCTACAACACTTAGTGGTGTTAAACTCCATTACTTTTACAGTGCAGATGCACCCCTACATACTAAAATAAGTTCTCATGCATGTCAGAGCAAGGGGTTAGTCGTACTGCGTGTTGAAACTTGGCATAAGCCCTCCAAATCCAGCAGTGGTGTGGGGCACCAGATGTTGCAAAAATATCTGGCTGGCTGTTTCCACCTCAGCAATGGACCATTCCTCCTAATGCCTATTACCTGCTCTCTCATCATTATTATCACCACCAGACTCCCTGGCTTCTTGCCCAACAACCATAATGGATATTATGAACTGAAATGGACAAAACATGGGAAAATGTTTTATTGGCTATACTACCCATAAAAATCTCTCTAAAATAAAGGGAGAATAGGTTCTGGTTTTAATTTGGGAAGCACTACTAGAGACATTTAACCAACCCACTCCATGCCATTTTCTTGATCTAAATTGCTTTCCAAGCCTAGTACTAGCCTTGCTGAGGGAAAAGAACCAGGCATGCTATGGGTATTTCTCCTCCTGCTTTGCTTGGAGCAGGGCAATTAAGGTCAGGAAAATCCCACAGTGGGAAAGGGATAAATATCTCCTCCCCTAAGTAGTGTTGCTTGATAGGAAGAATAATCAAACAAAGAGCCAGCCCCCCCGCCCTTCTGATCTCTCACATCACATCTGTTTTGTCTCTCTGGTGCCCATTCTTCTTCTGTTCCATTCCCACAAAGGTCTTCCCAGCCTAGGGAATCAAGAGATTTCCAATAACCACATCCATTTTTTCCCTACATAAGCTTTGGAGCAAAAATTTTACAATGTATTTATATTTCAAAAGCAATCCACTTTTGGAGCCCCTGGTCATGGCTTCTCATCTCTCCTTCTGATTTGGATGTGATTTCAGACAGCCTGATCACTCCAACTTTCTGTCCCAGTTAACACCTACCAAGGGGGTCCCACCAGTGCCCAGCTCTGGTTTAGGTGCTGTGGAATACATGTAGCTGAAGAGTCGTTCAATCTTCCGGAGAGGGACTCCTCCTCCTCGGTCGCTCATCTGCCCCAACATGGGAAGAAAAATAAAATGTCTTTAGTATAGATGGGGAGGTGGGTAGGGAGAGCAGAAAGAGGCCTTGGAAGCGTATTTCTACCATTCCACTCACCCTGATAGAGAGATCCTCATGCCCCAATGCCACCATCACTTTGATGGGTGGCAATGTGGGGCTGGACTCATGGCTTTCGACGGTGGCCCTCATGGCATTCTGGAAGACATCAACAGAGAAGAAAAAAAGACATGCAAGGGTGGCCTTTTCAGAAAACCCACCTAATCAGACATCCCTATCCAAACTAGGTCCATGACATACTTGTTTCTTGCAATAATGACTCATAAAAGATTTGGATGGGACCTCTAAGGTCATCCCATCTACCCCCAATTCCTCCTTTCCAATGCAAGATACAACTACAATGTCTCAGACAAATAACCAACTACTTCCTGCAAACAACAGCCCAGAAGTCTCTGTTACACTTGGAAGGCTCTCCCAGTGCTGGGAAATAACTTGTTACAGACAGTTACCTGTCATAAATTTCTTTTTCCCATAATGAAAGCATAATGGAGTTATATTGCCATCATAATGGAATGGGGAGTAACTTCACTCTTTGTACAATGCAACTATAACTTTTACTTTTATAGTTATGGGCTCTGCCCTCAATAATGTGAAAGATAAATATTCCATGGTTAAGAGGCTCATGCTGTGTCCCGTAAAGTAACCTTTTGCTCTGCTGGGGGGTCTTAAGGCAACAATGAGCTATCCAGAAGGAGAGTATGTTTTGTACCAAAGGAGTACAGCTTATAGTATTTAGATTATTCTTTTAATGTAACTATAGGAAATTATTATAGTATGTTTTAAATGTTACCTTTCAACATATAGCTATAATGTTATCTAATGGGGGTGGAACTTATAAGAACAGCTAATTATTTTTCATAGCAATTTTTCAAACTATGGATTGAGAAGTAGCAGAACACTCTTGCATTTCTACCCCAACCAGAATCTCATAGATTTGCTTCTCAGTTTGGAAGTTCTTTTAAGGTAACAGGTGTCAACAGCCTGCTGTGCACCCTTCAAAAGACCCAAGATTCTACCAGACATCTGGTCATAGTGCCATACAGTCATAAACAGAAATCCAAAGCTATCTGTGAGCTGGCTTCTTTATCCCAACATTTACTAAGACTTCACTTCATCAGAATTGTACCAGGACTGTTTTGTGGATTTGTTTTTAATACAAGCAGCCTAAGGGACTGCAGTTGCAAATGGGAAAATGTAAAAAGTTAAAACAAGCATTAAAATATTAAAATATATTAAAAACTATATACAAGTGTTGACCACTGACTTGCACTGCATTTAAAAGCCTAACCCTTGTCAGTTTGAAAAAGCCTGTGGCACAAAAATATTTTTACTTTCTGCCAAAAGGTGAACAGGGATGGTACCATCCTGGTCTCTTTAGGGAGGGAGTTCTGGAATCTGGGAGCAGCCACCAAGAAGCCCCTCTCTCTTGTTCCCACTGAATAAGCCTGAGAGAGTGAAAGAACAGAGAGAAGGGCCTCTCTGGATAAGCTCTAGTGAGCTCATAAAGGGAGATATGGTCCTTCAAATAATCTGGACACAAGCTCCAATACTATGGGAGGAGTCACTATGAAAGCTTTCTCTTTTGTCCTCACCAGATGTGCCTGTGACAGTGAGAAAGAAGAAACAGTGACAGAGAAAGCCCTCCCTGGAAGATGCTAAAACTCAGACAAACTCATATAGGGATATAGAACAACAGTGTCCCAGTACAGCATCTAAACTGTACAGACATTTCACTGCCCCTTCTTTCCCTATCAGGGAGCAGCAGCACTCTTGACCAGAGCTTGAAACACAGTTACTTTTATGGACTGCTACTCTCAGACTCTCTAGCCAATGTTCATGATGACTGAGGGATTCTGAGAACTGTAGTCCAAAAACTGCAACTCTCCCAAGCTCTGCTCTTGACCTCACACCCCCACAAGGAATCTATCATTACAGCTCTGATTTCTGACCTGGATTACCTGGAACCAAGGTTAAGTGAAGGAAAGAGACTCTGAATGCCAAGGGAAGGATTACCTTGAACAATTCAAAGAGCATGTGGTACAAGTGAGATGGAACATAAACCATGTGGATGGACTGGTCAGGCTGGTTAGCTAGAAGTGAGAAAAGAGAGATCATTAAGAGTATGTCAGCCATTATCTGACAGCCACTTCCTGCACCCTTTTATCAGCCTGCCACATGCAAGTCACCCATGCTTCACTTTACCTGTGCACCCCCTCTAGATGTTGGTGGACTGCAACTCCCAGCAATCCCACCCAGAAAAGCCAATGGTAAAGAACACTAGGAGTTGCAGTCCAACATCTGGACAGTTGCATGACTCCCACCTTTGGACTGTGGCGTGATTTTCAGAACTATCAGATATTTAGCCAAATTTTATGACCATGCTTATGATTAAATTAGACAGATCAGATGCAATACCCCATGTTTGCCCCCCACCTCTTCATGCCAAATAGCAGGATGCCTCAGCCAGTGGGAAACTGGCACATTTTGATGTATTTTCTCTCATCATGAGTCCACAATGCCATGCCCCCAAGGGAGGTCCAAAAATCAACTCTGTTGATCTCTATTAATAAACCAGTTTTGGAACTATTCATATCCAGAGAACACATCTTTGGTAAACCTAACCGATCTTAACTGCCTTTTCAAAATGAAGCCACTCCAAAATATTCTACATTACAGCAGAGATGAATAATATACTGCTGCTAGAAAAATACATTTTTTCTCCAGCTGAGAGGCAACAGGTAAGCTGAGGGATGGTGGTGGCAAATAAATCCTCATCCCCACTAGTCAAAAAGACCTTGTGACCATGGATTCACTAGGACACTGATGTAGCTGCTCATCCAGGCAAAAAATTCCCCAGTATAATCACATGGCTCCTAAACATGGCTTTCTTATTAGCTGGGAGCTCAAAAGAACATTCTATGGGTGCACATTCAACCCTACGGTCCATGTGCACATTTTGGTGCCATATCAGGACTGCCTTTCTACCACACTTCCCAAATCATCCTCATCTGGAAAGCCAACCACTACTCCTATTGTCCCTTCCCAAAGTTACTTTCTCATCTACTGCAACCTCAATGCCCCCATGTAATTTTAGTTCTTCTAGAACAGTGATTTTCAAACTTTGGCCTTCTTAGTGTTTTGAACTTCAGCTCCCAGAAGCCTTGGCCATATTTGTCAATGGTCTGGGATTCTGGGAGCTGAAGCCCAAAACCCCTGGAAGGACAGAATTTTGGTATCACTTTTCTAGAACTTGAAGATCATGCAGTTGGCTTAAAGCTAGGGGAATGAAAGGATTTATGTAAATTTATGCAGTGAGAGAGGGCAAACATTTCTCTGGCTTGAGAATTTGCAATACGTTTGCGAGTAGACAATGTATTCTCCCCTTTTGGAAACTGGACTTGAGGAGTGGAAAGATCCACTTGGGCAATGAAGGTTTATTGACATAAAAACATGTAACGATTCAAATCCAACTGTTAATCCCAAGTTCAAATGATCAATGGAATGTACATAACTACTGACTTACCAGGATTGGTTCCAGTTGGAACTAACAAATGCATTTA